GGCGATGGCGCAATTTGTTCTAAAAATAGAATTATTGTCCCATATCATGGGGACAACCCCAATACTAGAAATGGCGCGCGCTTACGGTCTCCGTACCCGATTATGGCTCCTGGTAGTATACATTCGAAATTTTGTTTGACACTGACTCTACGAAAACGTTAAAACAACGTTTATAGTTACTTATACAAAGACGTTTCGACTGAACAACTTCGGTCTTCGTCGGTTTAAAAAAGCCAACTGAAATTACTGGCTATCTAAAGGTTCACAGTTCTGCGCGTGCTACGCCAGCGAAATTAAACGAGCGAACGCTGCGTCATATAACAAATCACGCGAGCGACTTGTAGTTTAAAACAGGATTTGTTACATTGGTAATCGTATTTGGCATAGGCGGAGCGTCTCGTGGAGGGAACTGGCTATTAATTACTCCAAGAGATACATCACAATACCTGTCACTCCAGGCCCATTTGCCTTCATTTTCCAAATCATTGAACCCAATCCACATGAATGACTCTGCCAGTAGGTGTTTGGTAACAAACTCCTGTTCAGTGGCGCTGGTGATACTCAACAGATCCGAGTCAGAGTTCAAGCAGTCATCTCTTGCCAAGTACCACGTGCGCATATTCGTTCTCACGAGGTAGCAGTACACTGTGTCGGTGTCTTCCATCACATGAGACACCCACCCACGGGGACAAATGGCTAAAGAGAATGGTGCAAGATGTCAGTTTCTACAATCCTGGTCAAAAGTCTTGGGACACTTTGCACTGTTGCCAACATATGGTCTTTCTGTCCACCTCCCCCTCCCCACCCCCAACACAATGTTGATGTTGATTCATCCAAAGTAGACCCACTATTCCAACATTGTTTCGGGGGGATGGGGGGCTCGGCAAATTAAATAATGACTTGCCACTTCAAATAAAGCGTCACCAGTTGTCATTTTGTCAAGTGTCAGAAGGACTTTTGGCCAGGATTGTAGGGTTGTGGTATACTCGTCAAGGCTTTTCATTTGTTACATTGATGAAATAGTCACGAAAGTCTCAAGTAAAGTTTTCACTTTCATCTTTCACTTTGTGACATAAGGACGTGGTTTCAGTTATGTTCGCAACTTTTGTGCTGCAGTTACTCATCCTGTTGACACTACTACGATGGAATGAGCAAAACTGTACTAATGCATCTCAATAAACGGGAAAAAAAATAGGAAGCCACGTTTCGATGTCATCTTTATATAATTATCAAATTAAAATACTCAGTAACAGCTGGTGTTTCGTATACATAAGCCCAGGCGATAAAGATGTTAAGATAACATTGCAAAGTCGTTTCCTAGCCTTCAATTTCACTTTGACGATAAAATAATTGTTGAACTGAGCGCATGGAGCATTTCCGAAACGTTAGAGTTTTCAATTTCGTGTAAACACGGGAACTGCATCTTTAGGAAAACGACTCGCGTTTGACGCGATAGAAGCGGAAAATCGCGAGCGGGAAAAGTATCCGAACAAGTGGTCAACGTGCAAAAAAAAAAAGCAGCGATTGCTTTTCTTCGCGAATTGTATAATCACGTAGTGATAATTCTATTGCACATAAAATCAATTTAAAAATTAATTAAATAGGCCAACAATGTCATTGGCAACATATCATAACTAACTTTTTTCTCTTCCCTTTACACTTTTTTCAGTTTAACCTGGTGCTGTCAAGAATTCGAGTTTGGTCTTAAGCCAATTTTAACTGCGATTATACGTACGTAGTGTCCTTTGGGAGCGTGGCTCGCAGTCGCGGCAAGAGTGGATAAAGAGTTAGAGTTAAACAATCTTACAGCCGTTATTCTATTCTCAAGATATCCCTGTCAAGTTATTTTACGATCACTTCCGGTTTTGGAAATCCCCCGTTCGCCTAGAAATTAAGAAGGAATCCACCACAAGTTCGAGTAACAAGCAGACAAAAACTTTGTACCAAGATTATTTACATTGTATTGCAAACTTCTTTGCGACTGTTTTAAATATCTTCTCAAAAGAAATAGTTTCTAACAACACCAAATGTCGAAAACAAAGTTTGAAGTTCATATAAAACACTTGAAAATTACTGGTGAAATGGAGCTGATGATGAAATTTTACCTCAGTTTGCACGATGTATCTGAACGTTGAGATTATTTCCTCAGGCAAATGTTTATATCTTGAGCGTTTAGAAAATGCAAAAAGGACTGTAATATACTTAAAGTTATTTTGGTACAAGGTTTTTGTCCTAATAATAATCAATCCTGTGACGCGAAGTTTGATCAAGTAGACTTTACGTCCAATTTTCAGTTCCCACGACAACGTCCTCGCAACACGCATGAAAACAACCGCGGGAGAACTGGGTGCCATGTCTTAAAATAACTTGAGCAGGATTACCTTGGGAAATAAGGCCTATATGGGGAACTAAATCTCGCACCCTTCATCCTATCTTCGTCGTGCCTGGAAATGACTTAAAACATGTATGTCTTAAGCTACATTATGGTATGCCTAGCTCCGTGAGCGGGCAAGAGAGATCAAATCCTGCACTGTGATTGGCTACCCGAGAGGGCAAGATGGCGCTATCTCATCCGCTTAGGACTACCCGCTGTGTCCGGCAAGAAACATTTCCCCCAAAGCCATTAAAAAATTTATTGACAAAGTTTGTTCGGTCAAGATGTCTGGATATTGGCCTCGTTCTTTTTTGTTGTCGTTGTTGTTGCAAGTTTAAGGTTACTTCAAACCTTCGCAGGTTTCCTCCAGAAAAAAAATTTTGTACGCGCGCTGTTTTGAAGGAAACCCCCACAAACTATGTATCAAAAGAAAGGTTATAAAATGTAGAATTCGATAAAATCACATTCGCTTTTGCCGACTGCTTTCGCGTAACGTCTTGCGTTAGAGACTGCCACGAGAAAAGTATTTGAAATAAAAGAATTCGCCGACACGTTTTTGTTCCGTATCTATCAGTGATTAGTATCACCCAACTAGTGGACTAATGCAAATCCTGCATTTTGATTGGCTGCGCTACTAGGGGACTATTAGTAATAGTCATCCAGTAGCGAAATTGGCGCCATCGAGCGTGACGTTTTTTTCGTTTTATTCCCAAATAAATATTTCTTCAACTTGCATTTGCTAACTTTATTATTGCCTTTTCTGTCCGACTAGTTGGGTGATACTAAAACAATTAGACCCTTCGCCCTCAAGGGCCACGGATCAATAGCCCATTCGGCTTCGCCTCATGGGCTATTGACCCGTAGCCCTTGCGGGCTACGTGTCTAATTGTTAAATGTTCTGGCCAAATTTCAAGGAAAACCGTCGATTCTACATACTCTATTAATTCATTTAAAGAGGAGGGATTCTCTCGAAAAACGAGTGTAAGCTTTCGCCTTCTAAAGATTTATAAACATGTCACGCTTTCTCAGAGGGATATGTCAACTGAAAATGCCGCCAGCCAATGAAGTAACAGAACCCCTAGCGTTCACAGTAAGGAAAGTTGAGCTTCGCGGTAAAGCGATAGTTTTACAGTCACGTTTTAGGCGCATACGTTTTAGGCCGGTGGTCAACAATAAAGGGCAAAACGGAGAAAAGCGATGTACAACAAAACAAAAAGAAACGGAGGAGCAATTGCCGAAGCGTGATTACAAAAAGGCACTCTTGACGGACACGAAATCTCAGATCGAAAGTATTTGATATAGGATCCCTGGATTAAGCTGTTTGCCGCGAAAAGGTCGTTGAGGAGTCCATGCTTTTTGGAAATTATGACACCTTGACGGTTTATTAACTTTTATTAAAAAAAACCCTCTTTTTCTCAATAACTTGCGCGCGTTTTAATATTTTATTTTCATTTTTGGAAAAATGTTACCTTGAATAATGAACTTTAATTTGGTTGGGAAAAAGAAAATTTGGAAAAAGTAGCCCCGCGAAGGTTTGGAGTAAACTTAAGGAGTTCGACTTCGTCTCGGCCCATAAACATGTAACAAGAAGAACCTGTCCAATATCCAGCCATCGTGACCTCACGCTTGATCAATAACCCATATCTCTAGAAGCTGCATAACAATGCAACACTATCGTGAATATAATTTCAAGACTAACGTTTTGTGGGTGGTTCCTGTGTGGCACGTGGTACACTCCTCCATGTCAGCACAAATCCCTGCCTCTCCAGAGAGCCGTCTGTGTGAAGACGGATGCGAGCGTGATTGGACACGGTTTGGAACTTGTCGTCAACTGAAAGTGCAAAATCTGGTCAGCCGTCTGAGAAATACCAAAGTTATGCCTGTCGGGGTGCTTAACGGTTATCAAGTATGCATCACCGCCAAGGATGCAGTAAACTACTAGTAGTGTCTGTTGTTTTTCGAGGCATATGCATGACGCAGAACAGAGAGGAATGGGGTAAAGAGAACGACTATTCCTAGTCTAAGGATGTTTTTGAGTAATGCTTTTCAAAGGAAACTAAAGGACCAGCAATGAAATTTATCAAACAACACTATACTTCAAATAATAAATAAAGTAAGGGTTTCAAAAAGTGGACTCGTCGGGAATTTTGGGCGGTGCTGTACCTCTCGTCTGTTAAACCTTCATCGCCGTATTATATTTTGATGTATTTTCTTATTATTTACCTGTCCTTCCGCAGTGCCTTCCTAAAGATGGTGAATCCCTGGAGTTACCATCTCTTATTTCAACGTAATCGTAACGGCAACCTCTACGTTCCTTGTATATGTCGAACAGCTTAAACGTGAGCTCAATGTAATGGCCGCTCGGAGCAGTTATCACCCAGATACAGTCGGCGTTGGAAGGATAATTGTTTGGATACCCGGGACTGGACAGTGTCCCATTCGGTTCGGTAATCTGCCGTCCGCACGCTAGAAAAATAAACTCTGTTAGTTTTTTTCGCTTGATCCTTAATCAATCATCCAGTCAGTCCATCCTTCCGTTAGTCCGTCCGTCAGTCGGTCGGTCAGTCAGTCAGCCAGTCAGTCAGTCAGCCAAGCAGCCAGTCAACCAGTCAGCCAGTCAATAAGTCAGTCAGTTAGTCAGCCAGCCAGCCAGCCAGCCAATCAGTCAATCAGTCAGATCAGTCAGCCAGCAAGTCAGTCAGTCAGTCAATCAGCCAGCCAGCCAGCCAGGCCGTCGGTCGGTCGGTCAGTCAGTCAGTCAGTCAACAATCCAACCAACCAGCCAGTCCGTCGGTCGGTCGATCAGTCAGTCAGTCAGCCACCCACCCAGCCAGCCAGGTCGTCGGTGGGTCGGTCAGTCAGTCAGTTAGTCAGTCAGTCAGTCAGTTAGTCAAAGAATCATTTAGTCAGTCTGTCAGTCAATCAGTAGTGGGACAGTCAGACATTCAGTAAATCACTCAGTCAGTCGGTCAGTCAGTCAGTCAGTCAGACAGTCAGTCAATCAGTAAGTCACCCTTACAGAACGTCATACGTGTTGTGATTGGCTCATAACAGCTCGTATTCTATTAGGCTAGGACTTCCGCCAGCGCAAAATTGACTTTTAGAAGTCACAAGGATCATTTCCACTTTTTTTATCAGTCAGTCATTCAGGTAGTATCAGTCCATCGATCCGTCCGTCTCATTAGTCAGACCAATCCGTCCATCCGTCTGCCCGTTTGTCCGTCCGTCAGTCAGTCAGTCAGTCAGTCAGCCAGCCAGCCAGACAGACAGATAGACAAACAGACAGACAGAAAAAGAATTAGCAGTCACCCTTGCAGAATGATTTTCTGGCCTGTGAACATTCTCCCATGTGAGAGAGTCGATTTGCCTGCCGTTTCCTTCCGTCCTATATCCCACCAGGGAGCAAGCTCATGGGCTATTAGTTTTTGTGACATCGCTAAATTAAATTGTCGTTACAAGTGATTCAAGGCGGTAGCCACCAGGTAAGTTGAAGCTGATTTATTTATTCTTACATCAGTTAATTTACCTATGTGCAGTTTGTTTTTCCTAAACTCACCTGAGGTACGGTTGGTTGGCTTGGCTACCACGGCCCTCGATTCCCATCTAGCAATGAACCCAGAATAGCCTCTTTGGAAATCCGAGTGAAACTTAACGAGCAGGATGTTTGAGCTTGACTGAAGAACAGGAGGGATAAACGTGCCACAGAACTTGCCGATACGACGGGAAGAGTCCGTTTGACCGTCATAGACTGCCACGAAATCATGGCTGCAAAGTGGAGAGGACCCTACAACATGTTAAAAGAAGACTTCCCTTAGAGAAACAAGACAACATGGAAGTACTGCTTACAAAGTTTCAAATCAGGGTTTCATTCACTCCTTAACATTTGCAGCCAGCTGTCAAAATATAGTGAAACGTACCCCATGAAAGGACGGGTCAATAGTTTTCATTTGAATGTCATCTTCTGGGGTTTCACTCAAAGACCCAAAAGTCAGAGCCACCTTAAACTGTTGAACAGTTTTCATACGAATGGTTACACACTAAGTTTTCATCCACAGACTTAAAAGTTACAATCACCTGTTAAATCAACTCAAATAGTTTTTGATCTCCTGGGTTTTGCCTGAACTGGAATTTATCCGCTACCTCCCTACGGGTTTTATCCACCGGAAAACTACAGGATAGTTGGGAGAGAAGAGATGGAATACAGGCTGACGTGTGACCAACCTTCAATATTTATGTATGTGAACGTAAGGGCAATTCTTTGTCCGTGACGAACTCGGATGATCCACTCGCAGTTCAGTCTGTTAGGATAACGCTTTGGAAAGTTGGGAGAAGTGAATCTACCACTAGACGCTTCAAATATTCTGCCACAAGCTGCAAATGAAGCAGAACAATTATTAGCATTAGGAGATTTTAATCTTAAAGGAGCGCACTCACGGTATTTTGGGATAGTTTGGCCACAAACAAAGTTACCTTTAAATTGAAGGAAACCTGAAAATAGTAGCTTGGTAAGGTAGAAAAACATTAAAGAGATAATGATAAACCTTAAAGGAACAAGGATGGTTCAGGATGAAGATCAACATGGATTATAAAAGACTAACTTAAGAAATTTAGGCTAAACTTGCACACACCGTGACGTATCTCCTTTAAACACCATCAATTATTAAGGAAATTCTTGAGCAAAAGGCGAGATGCGAAAAAACGGAGCCAGATTACTCATTAACACAGGTTTTTCCTCTTGATGGGATGTTAGTTCGTCGCAGGTTACCCCTGAAACATTACAAGTTTGTTATATCTTTGATCTCGACTTGTAGAGTAAGTTCCCGGATCAAAAGACAAACGTCACAACAATTCTTCGCGCTACGAAGGAGTTCACATCAGGCTCCCGGGAAATAGAAATTGCGTGTCACGTGTGGTAAGGTGTGAAACGTCCAGAATTTTAGGCAAGTGTCCCAATCAACCAGTGGGCATCCCTTACGGAGAGAGCCAGTATAATTAACTAGTGAGACAATCTCAGATAGTGCAGACTGCAATTGATAGTTCTGGCACGGTAGTCCCATAAGTACTCACCCCTGCTCGGTTCACTTCCGGTTTGTATCTACCTTGGTAGTCTGTTAGGGCTTTTCCCCTTAGCAGTGAGTACGTTTTTCAAGGTTGTATTTTCATTCAAGGTCCGAAAATTGCGTTCAATTACTGTTTGTCACGACAGCTTTTAGATTTTACTCTGGTGTTTTACGATGAATTTCATTCATTTTAAATTCAATAACACATTGAACAAACGTGACAATTTAGCTCTTCGCGCCAACTTTGTAACTTGATACTTTTGTTTTCCTTGCAAAGGTATGTAACATGAAACGGCCGTCGATAAAACACGGAACATGGAACATTCCGGAACATCGAATAATTAGCATAATTATGCGAAAAATATGGAAAATTAAATTTTTAAAACTAACATAAACAAAAATAAACTGGTATCAGCTTGAAATATGAAAAGATATTATTGGGGATAGGGGAGTCGGTAGCAGAGGG